TGAAATCTCATGGACATTGAGTTTGTTAAGACCTCATCGTCCAATGATATGGGAAACAGAGATTCAACAATTTGATTACTTTCCTTATCTTCTCTGTGAAGAACCCTAGTTCTCATAGTGTAATTCTGCACTTAATAATGATGGCCTCTCCTTCGATGAACCATTTCAGATAGCGTGGCTCTATGCATGTTTCTCCTGTTATTTTCAATTTTATCACAATCTCTTTGAGTTCTGAGCACTATTAGACTTTTCTTCAGTTTGGTGACGCTTGATCGGAGGCTCGGAGCATGGTAATGAAGGCTCAAACCAAGTTCTCTTCCTCAAGAATGTTCAGATTGATTGTGGAACATCACCAACCTGATCAAGCTTTCAGATGGGTTTGGAAAAGCTTCTGTCAGCCAAAGCACAAAGTTTTCTGCTGGTTGCTCTTGAAAGATAGACTTAGTACAAGAAACATTACGAGGAGGAAAAACATGCACCTAGATTCTTACAACTGTGAATTGTGCAACCAGAGGACTGAAGAAACTCTTGATCATCTTTTCCTTCACTGTCCATTTGCACAGCAAGGCTGGGGGATAATAAATTTAGCAGTCTCAACCAATAGTGGGATCTTCGACAACCTCAGTGCCCTAAAGAGCCAGCTTCACTCCCAATTTTTCATGGAAGCAATTATTCTTCTTTGCTGGACAATCTGGGTAGCCAGAAATGAGTTGATCTTTAAAACAACCAAGTCACTATACAAGACTGCAGAAGAAACTTCTTCAGAGAAGTGAATTTAGTTGGCCTAAGAGTAAAGTCAGGCCTTTCTCCACAGTTTGATCAATGGCTACAATCTTTAGGAATGACTTAAGTCCAAGATTTTGTCTCATTTTCTTTGTCTCTTTCTTTGTTTCTTAGAGTTCCTCTCTTCCCTCCTCCCCTTTCCTGTTTTTGTATAATAAACTTGTTTTTCTTCCAACAAAATTTCTGTAGGGCCAAGGCCCCTCCAGGTTCGTAAAAAAAAAGAGTAGGGTTGTTTCTGCAGATGGAGTAGGGCTGCGTTCGGCTGGCCGGTTGGGCTGGGCTGGCCAGCGCACTCGCAGTGGCACTGTTCACGTGAACAGTATTTTCAGATAGAACGGTATTTTTCCTCCCAACAATTAGCTGGAACAGTATTTTGGTTTATTTTTCAGTCCTGCCGAACAGCCCCATAGTAGGGTGAGGATTCATGATCCAGCAAGCAGTAAGAACATCATGGAGCATTCATGATCCACAAAATGGGTAAGTTGCGGTGACGTCGCACAATTCAGTAAGCTGCCTTCAGTGGATTATATAATCAAAAGCAGCTAAAAATTTTTAATCCTACTTTTAAGCATTAGAAAATTTATTATAAGTTAAAAGCAAAAGCTTGCTGAATAAAAAGTAACCTGGTAAAATGTATTATATGCGTCCATGTCCATGAGGCAACTAACAACCATGCAGTATGTGAGGACATGTATGACAACAGATAAATAAAAAGAGACATTAGCATAGCGTTATGCTCAACAAGCCAACGACACACAGCAGCAGGTGTCAGGTGATAAGAGATGCCTGCCTACTTGCCTAGGGGGTTATTTGAGAACCGTTGAAACATTAGCCACACTGGATTGCTGGATTGATCATGTGCAATTTACTCATTATATTCAATGCCTTGTTTTATTTGTTTCTCTCGTAGCAACGCACGGACATATTTGCTAGTATATATATAAGTCCGGATGGAATAAACTCTTCATCGTCCGGTGGTTAGAAAAAACGACAAAAAAATGGATGGACCAAAAAATAGGCTGAAATTTTTGCCTCTTTATTATTAGGTATAAAATACAAATACAGCTTTCGTCCAAAATAGTTTGGTGTGTGTGCCTCCAAACTATACTCGTGCACAGCTCGTTGAGACTTCGGAACTAGAAAGGACTCGACCAGACTCATCTGAAATCAAAGCCGATACGTAATCCGAACAAAATGAGCTTTTTACTTGTGTGTCATTATGAAAGATGAATGTATCCTGGTGTCATCGTGCTAAACTTTTTTATCCAACACGACATTCCGTCTCTATGCTTGTGAATATGCCATGGACAAGGACTTGTTTCATAATATTGCACTACTGAGGTTTTCTAAACATTTTCTAATGTTGATGCTCTTGCTCCAGCACAAATCCTGTCCATCTAGCACCGATCTGGTAGCTGTGATTTGCTCGTAGATCTAAACGTGCCATAGCACTACATATTGAGAAAACTCCCTATTTAACACCAGATATGACATGGTTACTTATTTAGCACCGAAAGATAAAATCTTCTTAATATAACATTGGGTTTATTTTTTGTTTCCTATATAGCACTGACGTTAGACGTGACCTCTAACACCGTCAACTATGAGGGAGAAATTACCATCTTACCCCTATTTACATGTGCAGTCACATCAATGTGTTAACTATTAAATGTTATTGCAAAGAATTTTTTTTTGACAATATCATTTTAATACAAAATTAAACATTTTTTGGCAATACAATTTTTTGGACCATGAATATTTTTTGGTAGTACATTTATTTTGCACATATTATTTACGACAATTCTTGATGTACGTTAGGTACGCTGAAAAATTATTTTTATTATTATCCACAAAATTGTACAGCCATAAATAATATGCGCAAAAAATGTACTCCAAAAAATATTAATGATCTCAAAAAGTTCCTTTTCAAAAAGAGTGCAATAAAATATCATCTTTAACATATTGATGGTGCTACAAATGAAACAGGTGTAAATGGTCTTTTCCCCTCATAAATTAAATCTAATAATGCTATATTAAAAAGATTTTAGGAACCCTTGTTATGCTAAATATGGAGTTTTCTGCTTGATATTTCGCCCCTTCATCTGGATTTTGGAAGCGCCTGGCCCCGTCCCTCCTCCTCCCCCTCCTTCCCCTCTCCTGGCGAGCGACGGCCGGAGCTGCTAGGGTTGCCGCCCCGCCCTGCCCCGTGCTGTAACGCTGGACGCCAAGTACGTGCATCGCCCTCCTCATCCCTTCTCTCCCTCCTGTGTGACTTCAGACACGTTAACCCCTAGATCTGACCTAAAACTTCTTTGCGGGGGAGGGGGGAATGCTGAAATCCCATTTTGTGTCTCACGTTCTGTCCTGACCCGGCTTCTTGGTACATCCAGCCGTTGTATGGGGGTGTAGGAGTGCTTATTCTTGGTACATGTAGCTGATCTACATACGTCCATCTGATTGGAAGTTTAGAACTTTACTTTAGGGGGTCAACTTCTCTCAACAAGATAGCTTGATTGGGTGGTACAATATTTGCGTTCTAGTATACAATGTTTGCTTAGAAACCCGCTTATATGATTGCTAATCAACAAGCAGTGGTACCAGAGTAACAGCACTACATGGGATACCTTTGTGCGGTTTCAGATCAGTTCTGTATTGTTCCTCTTTTGAATTATCAAGAGCTTGTTTCAGTGCAACATACAACTATTTGTTACAAACTGTGAAACACGGATACGCCAGGAAGGGTGCGTATCCCGTGTCGGATACATATCCGATACGGATACGCTCGGGATACGGCCGGGATACGTATCCGCGGCGTGTCCATGTATCCCTTCTTAATTGGGCCGAAAACTAAGCAACGGAAACGTTTCGGCCCAATCGATACGGCCTAGCCCAACTTAACAGTTACCACCATCCCTTGCCCTACTCCCGAGTCCCGACCCTGCGCAGCCGCCTCCGCCTCCCACGCGCAGCGGCGCAGCGCCCGTGTCCGACGCCCGCCGGCGACCAGCCTCCGCCGGTCCGCCCTCCCACGCGCAGCCTCACGCCTCCGCCTCCCCCACGTAGCGGCGCAGCGCCGGCGACGAGCTTCCGTCCCTACTCGCTGGCCACCAGCGACGAGTTTCCGCCCCTGCCACGTGGATCCAGGCTGCAGCGAGTTCCCGTTCTCGATCTCCCCTTCTTCTTCAGTTCGTGGCCGCTGCGACGAGTTCCAGGCCCCTGCGACGAGTTCCTTGAGTTAATCCCCTTCCCCGTTCTCGATCTCCTCTTCTTCTTCAGTTCGTGACTGCTTGTTGCTTGATTTCTTTGCTCCCCACTTCGTCTTCCTCTCCCCATTCTCGATCTATTCTATGTCTGCAGTGCGGTTAGTGACTTCTTGTTGCTTCATTGCTTGTATGCAGTAGATGGCGTCTCCAAATATGAGCAGTGCAGCAAGTAGGAACTTGCTGGTTGCTGCTGCATGAATTGCAAGCCTGCATGCCTTTTATTAATTTTCTAAATTTGAGACTACTATATTTGAGAGCTGATGAGACTTGAGAATGAGACCTGCTGTGTTGTAGTAATAGTACACTTAAGTAGTTAATTGCAACGGTTTATTGTTATCAGTTTTAAAATTTTAATATGCACTATTATTTTTTATTTTATTTTTTAAATAGTAAACGTATCCATGTATCGGTTTTTTTTAGGAAATTGCCGTATCCGCGTATCCTTCCGATACCGATATTACCGATACACGTATCCGTATCCGTGCTGCATAGGTTACAAAGCCTCTCTACATGTTTGCATTGCCTCTTCTAGATGGACAAGAGGATATCTTAATAACGAGAGTTTTTCAAGTATGCAATGTTTGCTTATAAACCCGCTTAAAGAATCTAGTATGATTGCTAATCAACAAGCAGCGCTACCAGAGTAAGAGCACTACACGGGATTCCTTGTGCAGTTTCAGATCATCAGTTCTATAGTGTTCCTCTTTTGAATTATCAAGAACTTGTTTCTCACTAGGCTCCATTGCCCCCACCTGCCTTTTCTGTTACAAAACCTCTCTACATGTTTGCATTGCCTCTTCTAGACGGATAAGAGCAAATCTTAAGAATGAGAGGTTTTTCATTTGTGTGGCTGCATATTGTTTCTTGGTTATAGTTTTATATTGTTTCTTCTCCGTTTATGATCCCAAATTTTGCTCCTCTGTTTTATTTCTAAAAGAAAGTTCTGCTTCAGTTATGAAGAGGATGCGCAAAGCTAAGAGGGGTGGTGGTGATCTCACTGAAAGCGCTCAGAACAGAAGAGTTTGCAAGGATGAATGGGCCTCAGGTCTGCTAGATTTTTCTCTTTTCTGCTAGGTTTTCCCACACATTAAACACCTTTATTTGATTATTCACAGTTGCCTTAATGTTTTATTTCCTTCAACTAGGTCACTTCTCTAACAAAGATATTTGGACTGGGCTGAGTGATGAGCTAAAGTTATATTTGTCTAGAAGTGTTGCCTCAATTACTTTGTGCGATGGTAATTATACATGCTTAGTCTTCCTAGCCTTCCAACTAATATATATTGAAACTCATCCAGCTATAAATGATTTAAATTGCGATCTTCTGTAGGAGATACAATCTTGTTTTCATGTTCGGGCATAGCTATGGAATGCCAGGGGAGCCACCTTACAAGGTTTCTGACTTCTGCAAGTTTGGTTAGAGCTCTCAATCTTACAAACAAAGACCATGATGACTTAAAGGTTGGCGCTGACGATCATTCTTTACTAATTTGTTTACTTAGATAATTTTATGCTCATTTCTTGCCTTATCATTTTGTAGATTGAAGTCCGTCATGAAGGCAATGAAGTGTTTATTGGGTTTGTGGCTGAATTTGATAAAGATCGCAACTTTGCTGTTGTCAATGTCCGTACCTTTGTTGATGTTCAGGTTGGACTTTTCAACCATGCACGGGAAGTTCTGCCTCATAGTGAGGTATTAGTTGTAGGGCGTGACGTCTCTGGTGAAATGATGGTCAGGAGTGTGGGATTGAATGGTAATTCAAGGGTATGTGAGGATGATGAAGATCTTGATTGTAAATTCTCTAAGGTACACTTGCATGAAGATACAAGCATTCTATTCTATTTCTGTTATGCATGCTGCTGCTTCCATTATTGCTGCTGTAGGCAGTAAAAAATGTTTTTTAATTTATATTTAACTCTTGTCCTATACAACTTCATTTTGTTCAAATGTAACCTGTAATGTGTCTGTCACCTTTATTGTGTTATTAGGCTTGGGAAGGTGGGCCACTTCTTTCTGTTGATGGGAACTTTGTTGGCTTGAACCTTTTTCTGACTATGAGAAGAGCTGTTTTCATACCATGTGGTACAATTCTCAAGCATCTAGAACATTACTGGACATCCCAGCAAAAGAAGACTGGTCGCGCACAGTCAAAAACTTTGAAGGTTCGCAGGTATGTCTAATTGATGTGTGCCCTTGATTAGTTCACCTACGTTATTTGTATCTTATCTCTTCTCCTAAAGATGTTAGGTAAGCCCTTTTGCCACCTCAACCAAATTTTTTATTTGCCGACCTTTGGCACGTGTCACAGATTCACAGTTGTCCTGTACTACACTTATCATATATCTTGTGCCAATTTGAAAACTGTATGTTTTTCTTATTGGAGTGTGCATTATGATCATGTTTTCATGAAACATTTTCCACACGACTTGAGGTCCTCATTTAACTATCTTGTTCCTTGCCTATGATTCTATCTATGTAGGTTTTGGCACCATTTTGCGTATTAATGCACTGGTTTGATCCATTTGCCTTTTAGGCTAGTAGTCAACTAATCATTTTTATGTTCTGCAGGTCTGGAGCAAGACCCTTAGCTGAGAAATCTAACAACCATCCAAAAGGTGAGCACACAGGCACTGCTTAACATTGTGGTATTATGCAAATTGTTGCAGTTTGTAGTGGTATGTGTTTAGAAGTGCAAGTTTAGCATTTTCATTTATATATCAACTAGTCTGCCCCTTTCACTTATTGTTAGGTCTTATCAGTTAGCATCATTATTGGGTATGTTCATGCACGCTGCTTAATTCTAATGTTAATTCTTGCTCAGGCTGTTGTCATTATATGACTATTGCTACATCCTGATCATTATTGCAGAATTTAAGTGAATTTACTTTTTGTGTATAGTATTAGTGTATGTCAGTGCTGATCACTTGACCCTGTTGCACCAGTACATGGAGATTTTCTCAGCCAGGAACAGTTAGATCTAGAATCCACGGATTACCCTAAGTTACCACCAAAAATGTCAGGTGAGTCGGTGCTTCTAAATTTGCTGACCTTTTACAGCTCTCCTGTGCCACTAACAACTCTTCTACAATGTATCTTTCTCCAGCTGGTGTGATTTTGGTTAATACTTTTGAAGAGACTTTTGGTGACATGCATGGTGAAGGTGTCTGGAGAAAATTTGGTGAAAAAGCTTCTAACATAAATGACAATGTTGTTGCACTGGCTTCATTCAATGGTGATATTACAATGATGTACCATTTACTATTTCGTCTCTGTTTTGGTTACAACTAGCTGATAACCAGAATCATGGCACGCAGGAGAAAAAAGGTTTTTTGCATGCACAGGGTTTTTTATTGAGTGGAATGGATCTACAATAATTTTAACATCAGCGAGCTTGGTTAGAAATTCTAGTGACGAGAACAAGACTATTGAAAACTTGAGGGTTGGTACTCATTGTGTTCTCTGTGACTACTGTTCCTTTTAAGATGCTGTTAAGTCTCATCACTGTATTATTTGCAGATTGAAGTATTGCTTAAGCTTAACGACCAAGACCAATGCAGAGAAGGGACACTACAACATTACAGTCTACATTACAATGTAGCTCTAGTCAGTGTCAAGGATTACTCTGCTCCTCGTCCATTAAAAACGCTGCTTGATTGGGAGGAGTCTGGCAAAGTAGCCGCTGTAGGGCGTTGCTTCAAATCAGGCGCACTAATGGCTACTTGTGGGGAACTGGTTTCCTGGTCAGGAACACTTGATTGCGATTTCCTTATTCGTTCCACGTGTAAAATCAGTAAGGTAATCCCCTATTTTTTCACGGTGATAGTAAATAACTCCCCACCTTTTTTCATAAGGTGTAATCTGACTGTCCAAAAGTGAGCTTTGACTATAAATTCCCGTGATATTATTTTGCTACATGGTCATGAGAGTATTTTGGAATATGAATCTAACTGTATTGTTCAGCCTGTTCGCTTGTGCTTTTGCTGTTGCTGATTGGCAGCGGCTGCAGACCTACCAGCTGAAAATCGGTTGCCTTACCTGGCTGCAGTTACCTGTGGCTGCTGCAACTTCACTGCTTGCTGCTGCTAATTTACTGGTTGTCTGCTGCAGCCACAGCCAGCTCTTCCTAACGGAGCCATTATTTTTTGACAAAACCTAGATATGATTAGATTAATCAATGGTCAGTGCTTGAATTTGGATAGAAAATATTCCTTGTATTCTGAACAAAGAATAGTTACATCTGAATGAGTTGGCTAGCAACAGAAATCACAGCTTGTTCATGTCAACTTGTTAGGCTGGGATTGGAGGCCCTCTTGTTAATTTCGATGGGGATGTCATTGGCATGAATTTCTATGACAAGAGAATAGGAACTCCTTACCTAGACTGGGACGAAATTTGCATAATTCTAGCGCGGTTTGAGACAAAAAGGTATTGCATATAACACATGTTTTTTTGGGTAACATTTTAAGAATCTTGCTTTGGGTGAAGCATAACATTTTAATTGATATGTTTGACAGTAAACTTGGTGAAGTTGGCAATGACGGTGCACCTTTTTCGTGGAAATTGGATGATGATGACAAAACTAAGTTAAACAGGTTGGTAGTCGTTATATAGTAAGCTAGGGTTAAGTTCTGGACATATGAATTATTTCATTGAACTCAACTGCAGGTGGCCTGTGCCAATGCCTTGTTGGTGCCTTCCTGAGGATAAATCTGATGATGATGATGAGTTGGGCTTTGTAACAAAATCTGGTCGCAGGAGGAGATACAGTTACTGTCGGGGAAAGAAAGTCGTGCTCTTTTAGATGCAATCACACCTTCGATTGGTATCACCATCTCCATAACCTGTGGCTTGCCGAAGTCTTGTGTTGTAACGTTTGTATCTTGGGATTATTTGGTGCTATATTTTGTAATAGCATGCATTGGCGGTTAAGTTGCTCTATGGTACTTGTGAGCTATTTTGTATCTTGGAATTATTTGGTGCTATGCTGTTGTGCCGAGTACTGTTTTGGGCACAAAAGAAAATTCAGTTCTAGGTTGCGAGCACTATGCTTAAGAGTAGAACCAATCCTAGCAGCCCCTGATTTTCCTTCCTGAAACATTTTTTTTAAAAGAAACATTTTTTTTAAAACAAGCCATTAGCTACTCAAACAGAAAGGATTCAACATGTATTGCACTTACTTTATTGGTAAAGCTTGTCAGCTTCAATATCTCTGCATTAACTTCTCTTGAAAAAGTAAAGCAAAGCTCAGCTTCTAGATATGTAAACAGTTTTGGGTACTCTAAAACTCACCAGAATGCTGTGCTGATAACGACTTTGGCCAAGTTTTGGAGTCCTGCTATATAGTTTTGTCATTCTCAATGGGATCGGAAGAGCCCAAGTTCTATGTCATTCTCCATCTAAAGAAGAACTAAAAACAAAATGAACAAAGCTTTTAAAAGCAGCAAATGACCTTCAAGTTCTATGTCATTCTCATGAGGAGCCTCTAGCATTGACATTCCAATAGGAACTTCAACAATCTTTTCCGCAGCATCCTTATCGACAAAAGTCAGATATTCTGCAAAGCAGATACTTGTCATCGGTACTGAAGAGCAATTGTTAAGGCAAAAGTATACGCAACACAAAAAATAATCCAAGAGAAGAGGGCAACAATCATGAAATTTGAACATAAAAACAGTTCAAGAGAAGAGGCAATAAGTCCTGATCTTTTAGTTTACGTTTGTAATTAGTTGATGGAACATGTAGTGCATTTCATAGTTCATACTTGAGATGGCAGGAATAAAAATCAACTAAGAAGAAAAGTGAAACTGATAGACCCTAAATGAATGCCTTACACAAACTTGTATAACTGCCACAAACTTTTCTTCAAAAACTAGATATTTCAGCAATTTCCGGTTGGTGTTTGGAAAGGATCAAGTATATTCACAAACAGCACCTACATGGAGTGTTTCAGTGTTCCGTGAAAAATGACAATGTACTTAACGGACTCTTTTAAGTAGTAGTAAAACACTACCATTAGTCATAGTACATGGAAATCTCATTAGGAGACATTTAGTAGGAAAAATTTATACTAAATTTTGAATACCAAAACACTAAGAGAACCCCACCTCACTAGGAGAAATTTAATATTATGGTTGTGACTGCCTTTAAAAAAGCTTTGCGAAATGTATGTACCGAAACAGGCTGACTACTTTATCACAAACAAAAAAAAGAAAAAAAAGAGGAAAACAAAAGAAAAAGAAGAAACAGGCTGGGCACTGTAACTGTAACTGCATAGCATACAAATGGCAACCAAACTTTAAGGCTGGTAGCGGATTTACTAGCACAGAAGGGCCAACAAGCTTGATATTTCCAATGGCAACATATGAAGGACTTACAAAGAGTTACTCAAGTAGGCTGATGGCTTATAGGCTTATAGCCTAGGCAGAAGGTAGTGAAATGTTTAATCATTTACAGTCCCCAAAGAGTTTAAAAAACAATTCTGAAACAGAAATTGCCGCTAGAGGTCTCGTCGCTACTTATTTCTATTAAATCATCTGCTTAATGTGTCCATAATTCCATTAAACCCCTACTCCCTCCGTCCCAAAAAGGATGTCGCCAAAAAAGATGTCGTTTTAGCTACGAATCTGGACAATGTCGGGACAGAGGGAGTATATGCCAGTCATGTCCCGAATTCTGTATAATCTCGATCATATACTTTGCTTTTCTAATCTGGTCACCTACCTATTTAGAAATCGAAATCGAATGTGCATGAAGAGGCACTACAATTTTTTTTTTAAAAAAAACAAAGATCTTTAACGGAGTCACCTATTCACATTGCAGACTGTAAACAGTGTCTTGAACTGTTTAAAATAGAGGCTAAAATACAATCTGATTGTGCACTTGATAGAAGAAATCTGATGGGAAAAAGACATCATTCGGGTACAAATATGAAGATTTTCCTTAGGCCCTGATTCCTGATGCGACAAGGTGTGAGCAGCGCAGGTGACATGGCATTTTTAGAAACGTTGCACTGAAAATGGTTTTACGTTAAGAGCGAAACTTCCGTGTTCTCAGGAGTGCATAAGCAACAATGCAACAATTGTTTATCACAGTCAAGCAAACGTGAGAAATGTGGATCTTCGATCGGTGCTCAAGATGGGAATGGGCCGACCTGGCCCTGGCCTTGGACCTGGCCACGTGGTCTCAAGGCCAAGTTTAGGTGCCATGGGTCGATCCATTTCGTTGATCCATTTCCCCTGGTTAAGACATTTTCCCGACCATTTTCATCCCTAGCGGCGGGGTGCGGCGCGTGCTTCCCCTGGACGGGGGCCGTCTTGCCCGAGGGTCTATCTGCATAATTCCCCCCGAGCGAGGCGGGGAACCCTTGGACGGGATTGGAAGGCGTGGGACTCATCTGCTTAGGGTCGGGCGAGGCGAAGACCCCCTTCCGGGGTCGGGCGAGTCGGAGGACTCGCTCCGAGGGTCAGCCAGGACGAGGTCTTCCCTCGTGGGGTCGGATGGGCTGTGCCATCACCCGTGACCACTGGCTGAGGTCCGGGTCAATTTACTCGTCGATCCCTCGGGCTTAGTCCTCGTGTGGTTCTTCCCCCGACAGTAGCCCCCGAGCTTCTGGAGGAGTGGGCTTACTCTTTCTGAGGCTCTATCTCTGATCGGGTGAGTGCGCGCGAGCGCACCCGCTGGGTGTTGCCCCCGGATCCTCGGAGGAGTGGGACATTCCTACGGGGGTTCTTCCGTCCGCCCCATAGAGCAGGCCTGACCGTGGGCCAGGTCATCCGCGGTATGCGAACGCCCGGATTTGGGCTGTGAGAGGACCCGTCCCACATCACCTCTCGCCTCCGGGGTGTTTTGGATTGGCCGTCGAAACCGTTGTTGGGCCAAATCATGAGTCGTCGGACCCTTTAATGCGTCGTGGGCGTGTTCCCTTCCTCGTGCTCTCGGCGTCAGGAGCTGCGCCCGGCACAAGGCTAGGCGGGAAGTTGGGACGCCGCCGCCCAATACAGTCGCAGGGGGAAACCGAGGGGGCGTGCCGCTCCGCATCCGCTGCGGCGATCGCAGTGGGGGCCGGCTAGGCTCCCCATGCCCCCCTTTAAATAACAGCCTTCACACTGTCTTCCACAGCTTGCCTTAGCTTCAGCCTTCAAACCTTGACGATCGCCCTCCTTCTCTCCTACTCTGCTCATGGACCACGGCAAGCGCCCCGCCGTCGACGCGCCAGAGGAGAGACAGCCCCTCCGTCGCCACCTGATCACGCTGGGGGCGGTGTCGCATGCGGGTCGGGGACGTCACATGGTCCTCCATGCGCGCCCCGTGATGCCCCCGGAGTCATCGTCCGGGTCAACGGGCGCGATCCCGGTCTTAGGGCTGGAGGAGGTTCGGGCAAGCCTTGAGGCCGCCCAGATCGCGCTTTGGGCCGCCGAGGCAGAAACGGAGACCGTCCGCGCCCAGCTGGCGGATGCCGATAGCCGGGTAGCCGGTAAGTTTCCCCAATAGCCGTCGTCCCTCTCCTTCTTGGTATGCCATTTCCCTAACCCTTGTTCGTTCTTGGTAGAGCATGAGACGGAGCTGCAAGCTTCGTCAGGCTGCGGACGTAGCCGCGGCCTCTGTGCGCGCTCGGGCCAGGCGGCGTGAGGAACGTCTCCTCGACATCCCTGATCGTGTCAGGGATGCCATGGAGCACGACATCTATCGAGGAGCGACTGTCGCCTTGGCCGCGGCCCAGGTCTGTTTCGGCCACGAGCTAAGCCACTGGGTGGGCTTCCCCGAGGGCCAAGGCGTGGCCGACTACGACGAGTTCATCGAGGACTTCGATGAGGCCGCTGAAGCCGTCGTCACCGAGGTGCCCGCCGAGGAAGTTATCCATGAGGCCCTATAGTTTGTATCTAGGGATCTTTCGCTGTTAATGAAATCCGACTTTCGCCTTCCACCGTCTATGGTCCTTTGGTCGATTTTCCCGTTTTGAATGTGGTTCGTTGTAGCGGAACGCGATGCTTTTAGATCGATAGGGGCCCGACCCTTGCCGTCCACATTCCGCAGACTTAGTGAACCCAATCCTCGTTCGGCTGCTCAAGTGTCTCTCCGTTCTCTCCTGACTTTGTAGTTCGACGCCCTGATGCGTCCGCCCCCGGCTTCCAAGCGTGGCGAGGGTCGGATCCGGGGGTCGGACGGGTTTCCTCCAGATCGTTCTGCGACCACATGTTCGGTCTCCTCATGAGTTCGGCTTTCCTCGAGCCCCCACACGTAGCAGGGGTCCGATAAAACGGCAGGGCTGAGCCGTGCCACGATTTTCCTCGGTGGACGAACCATGGTGCTCGGTGAGCTACTGATAGGTCGGTTCGAGTTGCCCCGGCATCCCGTTTGCGGAGTTCTAGCTTGGGTCAGCTGGTGACCGACTCCAGACTCTCGTCGGTCAATCCATATAGTTCTTGGGGTCCGTCCGACCGGTCCTGAGGGCTCTCTGCCTTTCTTCGGAGAAAAACCATGGATCGTGTCCGGGTGAGACTCGAACGTGGGTCGGGATGCCCATGGTGTTTGGCCGTAGGAGCGTTCTCAGCTCCGTATCCCTCTTACCTGTGATGGGCCACGGCCCGTCCGGGGGGGGGGCGAAGAGTCCGGTGCACTTTTTGCGGGGTGACCAGAGATCGTGTGCGAGCGTCTCGTGACGGGACGTGATGGTAGGGCGTAGTGGGCGCGGAGACCTAGGTGGGTGGTTGATTTCCTCGCATCCATCGCCCCTATAAAACCAAAAGGGTAGCCCCCTATGTTTCGTACACACGCCTGCATCCTTACCACCGCAGCCTCGCC